TGCAGCGGAGGGGAAGGAAGGCTGTCCCTAGCGGCGACCCGTAGAGGGCACAAGGCAACCGTGAAGAAGGAGGTTTGTCCCTAGCGGGCACCCGTACAGGAAATCGGCGCAGGCGCGGAGGGCGGGAACAGGAAGGCCCTTTCCGGCGCGAGTTCTAGCCAGCGGCCTTTCGCTCCAGCCGAGCCGGGAGGGGAGACGCTCGCCTGAGGGACGCGGTGGTGCGGGAGGCCATGTTCCGCATCGAGGGCCTGGGGCCCAAGCTGGACCCGGAGGAGCTGAAGCGGAAGATGCGCGAGGACGTCCTCTCCTCCGTGCGCACCTTCCTCATCTACGTGGTCGCGCTGCGCATCAGTGAGTGGCGGGCGGGCGGGCGGGCGGGCGAGGGGAGAGAGGCCTTGGGGCCCAGGGCCGAGGGCCTTGCGAGGCGCCGCCGTGGGGACAGCGAGGGCAGGCGGAGGCAGGGCCGGCCCAAGACGGGTTGGCGCCTGCCAAAGCCTGCAGCTGCCGGTCCTGGTTTGTCTAGGGAGGGAGTTCCAAAGAGCAGCCCAGCCAAGGGCTTCTTATCATCTCACTTTCCACATACACAAGGAGTCACCATTGGGTGCAGTTACCCACAGAGCCTAGGACTTGCCGATCAGAAGGTCGGCGGTTCAAATCCCCGCCACGGGGTGAGCTCCCGTTGCTCAGTCCCTGCTCCTGCCAACCTAGCAGTTCGAAAGCACACCAGTGCAAGTAGATAAATAGGTACCACTCCGGCAGGAAGGTAAACGGTGTTTTTGTGCGCTGCTCTGGTTCGCCAGAAGAGGCTTAGTCATTCTGGCCACATGCTGGAAGCTGTACACCAGCTCCCTCAGCCAATAAAGTGAGATGAGCGGCGCGAACCCAGAGTCGTCCGCGACTGGACTTATGGTCAGGGGTCCTTTACCTTTTACCTACAGTGTGGGACGCTGGTGGTGCTGTGGGTTAAACCACAGAGCCTAGGGCTTGCCAATCAGAAGGTTGGCGGTTCGAATCCCCGCGACGGGGTGAGCTCCTGTTGCTCTGTCCCAGCTCCTGCCAACCTAGCAGTTTGAAAGCACAAAGTGCAAGTAGATAAATAGGTACCACTCCGGCGGGAAGGTAAAAGGCGTTTTTGTGCGCTGCTCTGGTTCGCCAGAAGAGGCTTAGTCATTCTGGCCACATGCTGGAAGCTGTACACCAGCTCCCTCAGCCAATAAAGTGAGATGAGCGGCGCGAACCCAGAGTCGTCCGCGACTGGACTTATGGTCAGGGGTCCTTTACCTTTTACCTACAGTGTGGGACGCTGGTGGTGCTGTGGGTTAAACCACAGAGCCTAGGGCTTGCCAATCAGAAGGTTGGCGGTTCAAATCCCCACAACAGGGTGAGCTCCTGTTGTTCTTTCCCAGCTCCTGCCAACCCAGCAGTTCGAAAGCACATCAAAGTGCAAGTAGATAAATAGGTACCGCTCCGGCGGGAAGGTAAACAGTGTTTCTGTGCGATGCTCTGGTTCGCCAGAAGCGGCTTAGTCATGCTGGCCACATGACCTGGAAGCTGTATGCTGGCTCCCTCGGACAATAAAGCGAGATGAGCGCTGCAACCCCAGAGTTGTCCGCGACTGGACCTAATGGTCAGGGGTACCTTTAGTGTGCTGTAGGTAAAGGGAAGCGGGGGTGGTAGTCAGATGTACCTAAATGGAAAGGACATTTCATTCTGTGTTATTATTATTTATTGAATTCCTATATCGCCCTATACCCAGAGGTCTCAGGCTGTTCACAGAATAAAATCAAGATAAAAAACCACAAAATACATAATAAAAATAAAAACCCAGTAACACCCCCCCCAACACACATTTTAAAAGGGCATCGGATGTAAATCAAATCAACCAAAGGTCTGGTTAAAGAGGAACGTTTTTGCCTGGTGCCTAAAGGTGTGTAATAAATTACGTGTTCCCCATAAATTGTTCCCCATAAAGTGCTGGCATACAAATGACTAGCTCCACAGCAGTGCAAGTGGAACGTCTGCGACCTTCTGGATGCAAGAGGGAATGCTGCATGGTGCGAAAACCAAACTGCTGCTGTTTTAAGAGAGCTCCCCTTATGACACACCACTTCTTGGAGACGAGATTTTCACTCCACCTTGTAGATCCAAGATGCGACTGAATGTAATTCATGTGGCAGATGCATCTCCAAACTTCAAAACTCCCAAAGCTCAATTCTACAAAGAATTGCTGGAAATAATAGGAATGAAAATCACTTTAGAGCCACACACACTTAGCTTAACTCCTTTCTCTTTCTGGGTCTCTGAAGCCAGACAGTGGGCAAGACGTGATGAGAGCACCCTTGTAGGCCAGAGATTCTCCACTGGAGTTGTAATTGTGTTAAGATATGAAAATTCAAAACACAAAGTTATTTTTCATCAACTCATGGTAGGTAGGTACAAATAGTGCACTTGTTTTTGCTGGGGCGCGAAATGGAGATTCCATCTATACAGCAGTGAGACAAGAGAGTTGGGCAGCTGTATGTTGCTTGAAATTAATATATAGATTGAGTTGGAGAAGGGAAGAGCAAATATATTGAGAATGTTAGAATAATAGATTTTCTAGGAATGAAAATGTAATTGGTTAGATTGAGTATTCGAGGAGAGGGGGGAAGAGATGATCTAATAGGTATATAGGAATGCTTTATGGAATAACTATCAGAAGCAACCAGTGAATATTGGGAGATGCTCAAGTTTAGAACTAATGTATAGTTCAGAAGCTTCATTTGTTCCAGCATGTGGTTGATCACATTCTGTGCCAATGCACAGTTAACTTATGGAATTCACTGCTATGTGGTTATGACTACAAACCTAGGTGGCTTTAATAATGGGTGTATTCTTCTTTCTTCAGCTCCATTCATTTTAAAGAAGCTGGAAAGCATATGAAAACAAAAGAGCATAAAGGACGCACTGAATGGAAGACCCAGGCAGACAGTGGTTGCTCTCCCATTGAATGGGCTGCGAAGAAGAGGCTGTTTCCTGACAAATGCATCCAGACATTTCCTACTGAAATATTTGGAAGATTGTAGAAGAGCCGAAGAGAGAAAGCCAATAACTGTTATTTACATGTGTCAGTATGCGGTTTCTTTATGTTCGGTACAAATTTATTGTTCTTCAGAGATTATATCAACCGATTTGGGAAAATTGTTACCTGTAAACAGAGTTCTTTGGAACAGAGCTTATCTCTGAGATGTTAATGATATGGTTATCACCAGAGTATCTCATTGTATCCTGTGCAATCTTGGTGGTTAAATCTTGAATGGCTGAAATAAAATGTGGCATATGTTCTAACATGGCATTCTACAATTACAGTCATTGTAGAGAATTTTATTCCCTTTGCAAATGTCTTTTCACATATAATGCGAGGAGGATAGTAGAAGCTTAGTGTGACTAGGCAGGAATGAAGAACAGTGAGGATAATGTTCTAGGTTTTTCAGAATGCAAAGATTTGAAAACCAATTGATGCTAAGTAGTGCCAAAGTTGGATCTGACTAGTCTTCCTCTTTGCTTAATGAATCAGGATGACATTGGAAAGGAGGCAGCAGAAAATGGTGACAAGTAGATAAGTTCATCCCCCTCATAATTAGTAATTGGGAACTTGCAGTGAAGTTGACTGGCAGGTTGTTTCTGGGCAGACAAAAAGAAGCTGTTTATATCAATATGTGGCTCATGAATGAGAGCTAGGGTTAGGTGTGACAGGGCTGGGAGCATTACTCCCCATACCACCATTGGGAGCAGCCATATCACAGTGGCTTCTATGTTATTGCTTGCAGCATATGGATGGGGCCTGAGATGGCTTTTTAAACGGATTAGACAAATTCTTGGGAGATAGGTCAATTAGCAGCCAGAATACCTAAATGGAACATCCACAGTCAGAAGAGGCATACTTTAAAAGGGCACTTGGCTCTTGGGAGACAGAGTGCTCGTCTTGGTGCGATTCTACAAGGCAATCCTTGAAACTATTAACAGGCTGGCAGTCTTATTAGTGAGTCTTCCTTTCCCCATATCAAATAGTCAGCGATGCCAGATTTACTATAAGTGAGTTAAAAATCAATGATGTACCAGAGTGTCAATTGCTCTCCTTAACGGAGAAAAGAAGTTGCTGCGTGTTTCAGTGTATGAAAGTAGCCACCAGGTGTCAGCAGCCAGTGGCTTTTTCTTTGCAAAAATCTAGCATGGCTGTTTTTAAATAGCTATTTCAGCTGTCGGTCACGCAGATTAGTGTAGATTTCTTTGATCAGGAATGAATCCTCTCTTTCAAGGCGTTGGAAGGAGAGAAATCACAGATCTGCTAGAAAATTGCGCCTTGTAAGCAATCACTATATTGGGAAGGAAAGCTATGCCTAAATTTCTCATGCAGGCTAATGCAGAGAATGAAAAATGTCTTCTGTTTAAGGATCTGAAGATGCTATTTTGGCTCACAAGTGCTACCAGAATGACTGAATTTGCCTGAAAGTTTGTGGCAGTGTCACAGCACAATCCTATGCTTACGTGGAAGTACGCTCCATGGAATTCAATGGGACTTATTCCTAGTTAAGTATATGTAGGATCACATTAATTTTTTTTGCTGCCCTGCTCTTCTGCCTTGCTTAAATTATGCATGATAGGTTAAAGGCATAGCAGTATGGAAAATGAGGGGAAAGGTCACAATCCTTTTCTTATTTAAAGATTAAACAAAGACAACTGACAGTGTACTGCCAGAAGTCAAGACAACAACAATGTGATGGTGTTTCCTGCTTGGCAGGGGGTTGGACTCGATGGCCCTTGTGGTCTCTTCCAACTCTATGATTCTATGATTCTATGAACAAATAGTCTTTCTTTGGGTTTACTTTCAAAGATACAAGTATTATAGTTCTACTGTTGAGATTTGTCTTTTATAGTAAATTGCAGTGAGAAGCCAGTGAGACAAGGAGAGGGTGCTGTGCTAGAACTACATCTGAGCAGCAGTACAAAGAGAGAAAAAATTAAGAGTGTAAAAAAACCAACCATGCTTTTATTGAGCATTTATTACATCACTCACTACATGCCCAGTATTAATCAGACACTCTAAGAAAAAGGTGTGCAAATTGCACCGTTAATCAATAAGAATATCAAAATGGTATCTTCTAGTCTTCAGCAAGTTAAGAAAGCAAATCACTATTCCATGGGTTTCTAGTCTGCTTGGCTCTGGTTCCCTCAGAGGTAGTCAGATCACTTCATCCTAGAAGGAAGGGATGGAGGGGAAAAGACAATTATTGGGTGAGATCATCTGGAGATGCATTCAGACTACTAACCTCCACCCAAAGGTTGTGCAGCAAAATCCACTTTGAAAGTTACTTTGGCCAAATTAGAGGGCCACATTGCTACGGAAATTGTAGAAAAGCAAGTACTACTATTCACTTCTCTTCTTAACCCATTTTCTAATTGCTTTCTCTCTCAGATTGTCTCCAGGCTGTCAGTATTTTGTGGTAGGGATTAACTCTGAGATTTTCTTTCAAGTGGATATGTTATGCTAGGGCCACATGACACTTTAATTGTGCAAACCGAAAGCATCTGCATGAATCTCCTGCAAAATACTGACATGCCTGGAGGCATACCTAGAAGATGGAGGTACTCAGTGCATGACAAGAATCTTTGCTCTCGGAGAATACTGCTTCCAGCAACATGATCCACTCTATTGTGGGAACAGTGCAAATAAGAAAATTGCTTTCCCTATCCTGGATTTTGGAGCATTTACATTCAAAGAATAATCTCAGTGCTCGCTTGCTGACTTGTTTTGAGCCTTATTAACCCCCTCCCATTTGATAGCCTCAAAAGGCTTTCAAAGCAGCTTGCAGTGCTGTGAAAACGCAGTAGTTGCAATAAAATCGCATTTAAATGACAAAGTCTGTCGCCTGAAAGAACATGTCACAAAAAACCCCCAACCTGTCAGCAATAAATTGGGAAAAACCTGTCCACATGCCCACATTTTACCATGTAGAAAGCAGCTCAATGATGAACACTCCTCTCTAGGAAGGAAGTTCCACAGATGGGAGGAGAATGGAGTGCAACTGTTGCATCCACCCATTTACTTGACGGCCAAGAGGCAGAGACACTTTAAGCTGGGCTTCCTTAGCTGATCTTAAAGTACATGGGGGGGGAAGGCAGATTGAGAGGTTCCCTGAACCAGGTGTGATATGTCCTCAGGTGTGATGGTGCCAAACTTGTTGACACCATCTCACAACACACTTTATCCTGCAAGGGGCTTTGCAAACGGGATGATGAGCAAAATGGAATCCCTCTACGATTCCTCTTTTTTTAAAAAAAATAATATTTATTTGGTTTTTCAGATTAAAGTTTTTCAATCACATATCCAACAAACAACATAAAAACAAGCTTCCAAAGAATTTCCTGGACTTCCCTCCTCCCTTTTGTGGGTCCTATTTTAAATGATTTCCTCCTGCATCTTTTATAATCAAATCTTTTACATCTCCATTATGTCCAAAATTCCCATTGAACTACAAGTGTTATTCCAGGGACGTCCAATTCCCAAGAGACTGCAATCTACTCCCAGAAAAAACAAATGGAAGTGATCTACCAGTGGTTTTTTTTAGGGGGGGAGTTCAGAGTTGTCAAGCTTTTTTTAGGGGGCAGCGCAAAGTTGTTAAGCTTTTTTGGTGCATAATCCATCAACTTCATCTGCCATTCTTCTCTGGTTGGGATTTATCTTCTTTCCATCTCTGGGCCAAGAATCCCTCTGCAATTCCTTTTACCTGTCCTCAGTAACAACACTACAGTGGTACCTCGCAAGACGAATGCCTCGCAAGACGGAAAACTCGCAAGACGAAAGGGTTTTTGGTTTTTTGAGTTGCTTCGCAAGACGATTTTCCCTATGGGCTTGCTTCGCAAGACGGAAACGTCTTGCAAGTTTGTTTCCTTTTTCTTAAAACCGTTAATACAGTTGCGACTTGACTTCGAGGAGCAACTCATAGCACGTGGTGTGGTAGCCTTTTTTGAGGTTTTTGAAGACTTTGGTGATTTTTGAAGATTTTCCAAAACTTTTCCGAAACCGTGCTTCGCAAGACGAAAAAACTCGCGGAACGAATTAATTTCGTCTTGCGAGGCACCACTGTAAGCTGCTTAAAAATGAAGCCATTGTCTTAACCCCCAATCTTGGGGGGGAAACCCTTAAATACCGTAAATTTCGCTCTATAACATGCAGATTTTTTCTCCTAAAAAGTAAGGTGAAATGTCTGTGCGTGTTATTGAGCGAATGTGTGGTCCCTGGAGCTGACTCTCCGGAGCTAAGGGGCAAAATAGGCAAAAATAAGATCGGGCAGCGGCCGGGCGGAGGGAAGGCGGAAGCTGTTGCTTTCCTGCATTCTGCCTCAGGGTCTTACTGCCCACCCGCTTCTGTTGCTGCGTTTGCTCAAACTCAACAAAGAGCAGGGAATCCCCTGCCCTCCTGGCAAGCAGAGGGTTAAGGAAATGATCGAGTCCTTCCATGCAGGCTCCAGCCCACCACCTCCTCCTCTCCGTGCTCTAGGGACTCGCAGGCAGCCGAAAAACACGCAAGTGGGAGAGAGAGAGAGAGAGAGAGAGAGAGAGAGAGAGAGGGCTGGCTTGGGTGGGGTGGAGGGGACTTTTGCTTTACAATGGTAGGTTTCTCATTTCTTTTCCAAAAGCAGAGAGCCCTGCCCCCAGGCCCCCTCCAAATTACAGCTTCTCCAAGCAATGTACTGCTGGAGGGAGACAGTATGCTTGTTTGGAAGAGAAACCCTGCTTCCCTGCTCGTAAGTAACAGCAGGCTAGATTGCAGAGTGAGACATGGAAATCTCTGGATTTATATGCTGTATATCAAATATCTTAATCTATACTTTCTAACGCGGCAGGTAAATCAGAATCTCCTGAGCCAGGAGGATTACAGCATCTCTCCTCTCCCCTTCATTAAAAGCCTAATACTCTTCTTTGAAGAAGTATAATGTGAGAATGTTTTTTATATATATTTTTTAAAAGTTCATTTCCTCATTGTGTGCTATACACTGATAATTGCTGCCACAATAACAATTGATTGAAAATGGAATTTAGTCCCCCCCCCCATAGAGAGCTGTTCTTCAAACGTTTAGCCTTAATACAGTGGCTGATGTAATACCCTTCTGCTTCACTAGGCATTTTATATAGGGACATTAAAATTGATTTTCTACATCTTGGCAGATGAAAAAAAGTGTGTTACATGCCCTATTGCCCAAAAGTGTGCAAGCACAGAGCAAAGGTTGCAGTGACAGGTGGCCAAAAAAGAAATACCGTAAATAAAAAAGAAATCATACTTCGTATATCCTGTCTGTTTTATCCTTAATAGGGACTTTTATAAGCATGGATCCACAGGATCTTTGCATTGGGTCACCCCAAATTCACCATCAGATAACATAGCATGTCCATGGCTACAGCCTGCACCAAAAAAATCACGCACCCACTGTTGCCTAGGGTCGCAGTGGTGCAAAAACGTGGTTACAAAGCATGGATCCACATGGATCCTCAGGATTTTTGCATTGGGCTACTCCAAACTCACTGTCAGATCACATGTCTGTGGCCACAGCATGAACCACAAAAATCATACATCCACTGTTTCATTTAGAATATTTTTTTTCTTGTTTTCCTCCTCTAAAAACTATGTGCGTGTTATGGTCTGGTGCGTGTTATAGAGCGAAAAATACGGTACATTGGAATGGAGCATGACAGTAGACCAGGAATTTCATGGAGGTGAGCGTATAATTCCAAGCAGGTGAGAGAGGGAAGAGGGATGGATCTCCGAGGAAAGGAAACTCATCCATCTGCTGTACTTTATTCCACTAGCTTGTCTGGGAGAAGGCTTTTCCCAAACTGGCTTGCTAACTAGTATTTACATGCTAGTTGCTGAGGAGGGATTTCCCATGTTTGGACAGAAACACTGGCTGCCAGCCTCTTAGTGCACTATTATGAAGGCTTATTTTTAAGGCTGTTCTAGAAGTTCCTTGGTATTCATGCCTCTGCCTTTCTCTCCTTGAGTTGAAATTAACACTGTAAGCTCCTCCGGGCAGGAACCTTTTCGTTAAGAACATCATGTAAACCATGTACAAATCAGTGCTGACTATGACCAGAGGTGGACATACACAATGTCTCAAAATGGCACTCCTAGACTCAAAGAGCACTAGCAGCATCAACATTACCTTGCTACTTCATGTCATCCGGTGCCGGGAAATTACCCCTCTTATTTTTGCTTTGCTCTAGGACTTTAATATTCCCCTCTGCCTGTGTTTCTCCCACCATGTTTGTAGCATGGCACTGGTAAATGCCCTCGTCTTCTTTTGTCAGTGGGTTAATCTGGAAGGGAAACAGACACACAAAGAAGAAAAGGTGAACCGCAGCAACCAAAAGGGTTGGTTCATGTCTGTACAATTCATAGATTCAGAATTCACGGCAGCTGCCACAAGGGAAGGCTGGTGGGTTTTTCCCAGGGATATTCTGCAACACTGATGCAATAATAATGGATTTATACTGGATAGTCCACACATCATCCTGCTCTATTTGTTGTTCAGCAATGCTGCTCCACTACAACAACAACAACAACAACAACAACAACAACCTGGCTGAGTTTCCCCAGCCACGCTGGGCGGCTTCCAATCAAGTGTTAAAAAACAATAAAGCATTAAATATTAAAAACTTCCCTAAACAGGGCTGCCTTCAGATGTCTTTTAAAGAGAAGATAGCTGCTTATTTCCTTCACATCCACAGGGCGGGTGCCACTACTGAGAAGGCCCTCTGTCTGGTTCCCTGTAACCTCACTTCTCGCAATGAGGGAATCTACTGCTGTACGGAGGGGCACCCTTGAACTATATAGTGCAATGGGAACTTACCAAAACCCAGCCTGTGCTCTCATGTTTTGAAGGACCGCCTCGGACCTGCACTGCCATGTTGACTCTGTCTCCAGGAAGTTCCTCTAAGAGCTTCACTCCCTTTGGGGACTCCGTGACCTGCAGAGTTTTAGCAAAGGTGAAAACACAGTAGACACAGGCTTTAAACCCAGATCCGATTGTGAAGCCCACCCTCCATGAAACTCAGTTTTCCCGGACATTTCCTGGGCCATAAAATTGGGTGCTGTTTTTGCATTTGATGTTAGAATTCCTGCTCCGTGATTGCAGTCATGGGATTGTTGTCTATCACATGACGGTGTATGTTTTGACTCCACAGAGTGGGAAGTGACGGAGACAGGATGTTTGTGTCACTGTGTTCCGTGAAGTGGGACTATTGTCCTTTGTCCTTTTTCTCTTTGCTGTCTGATGCTAGAGAGAGAGGGAGCCATGTTGCAGTGCTCCGTGTGTGTTGATATGTAAATAAAGTAGATTAGCCAAAATGCTGAGTTGCTGAGGTCTGTTATGCAACTGTGCAAACTCTGCGGATCCCTAAGTGTGCCGGTGTCAGTTGGCATCGGTCGCTGTGATGTTCAGGCAGAAGCTTTTGAAGCTCCCGAACGATTGACCAGGAGGGAGAGAACATGCCAGTCGGGCATGTGTCTCTGCTAGGGTTCTACTCAAGTATAGGTTTGAACTCCTGATATTTGAATCCCTTGGTTCCTATTGCTAGTATTGTAAGCAACCTTGAGTGGTGCTGTTATACCACTTCAACCTTGTTCGGTAGAGCAGGAGAAATAATCTCAGAGAAATGGGTTTGAGCCCACGTTGGCTAAAAGATTCCTGCATTGCAGGGAGTTGGACCAGATGATCCTTGTGGTTCCAACTCTACAATTCTATGATTCTAAATTTGATGTGAACATCTAGGCCATCTGAACTTCTTGGTTATGAGAACAGCCTTCCTTAAGCTAGTGCCCTCCAGATGTTTTGGTAGAGGCTGATGGGAGATGTAGTTCAAATACCTGGAGGGCACCAGGTTGGGGGAAGACAGCTGTAGGAAAACCAAGATCTGGAGAGGACAACAGCCTATATATCAGTTTCCAGATCACTGGCTCTACCTGAAAGTGAAGCTTCATCTTCTGTAATAAATTGATTTTACAAATATAAAATTGTAACAATATAACCATCCACATTCAAAGATTCCTCCGAATATCTAGACTTCCCATCTCCCCTTCCATGGGTCCTAACCTTTTTTGCTGCATCTTTTTCAATAGTCCATATTTTATACAACTCCATTATCTCCACAGTAATTGCTACATTACAAGTGTTATTGCAATCCTGCTAATGTTTTCATCTGCTTACAGTGGTCTCCAATATAAATTACAAATTTCCCCCATTCTTTGTTAAAGTTTTGGTCTTCTTGGTTCCTGCGTTCCTTGGTTTCCGGTCAGTTTTGCCATTTCGGCATAGTCCCAACAGTTTAATTTGCCATTCTTCTCTGGTTGGGACTTTATCTTCTTTCCATCTCTGGGCTAATAACACCTGTGTGGCTGCTGTGGCATACATGAAAAGTGTTTTCCTTTCCCTTGGAATATCAGCACCTACAACTCCTAATAAAAAAGCCTCTGTTTTTTTTTAAAAAAATAAAAGTTAATTTGAACATTTTTTTCAACTCATTATATATCATTTCCCAAAATGACAGAAGCTTCAGCATCTAACATCAGAAACAAAGCTGGCTCAGCTCTAGATCTCTAGCCCATAAAACACTTGGCATCTTTCACATACCTTCTTCCAGGTGATGATGGGTGTTGGGACTGCTTTTACTTCACAAGACAGGTAGACTTGGGCTCCAGTTACATTGTGAATCCTCTTTGGGGGCACAACAATAGCGGGAGCTGGAAGAGCAGGGGGGAAAGACATGCATTTCAGAATGGCAGTTTCGTGGGCTTGTCATATATGTAGTCCTTTGGCATAATGAGTTTTGTCCCCCCCCATCGCCCAATAATATTTATTATTTTTCATACAAAAACATTACAAAAGAGAGAATAAACAATAATAAAAGAAAAAAAGTAAAATGAAAAGAAGAAGAAGAAAGAATATAAAACATAAAATACATCCAATCACCTCGTAAACTAAAACTTAATTAATTAATTAAAATCCATCTTCATAAACATATTACAGTGGTGCCTCGCAAGACGAAATTAATTCGTTCCGCAAGTTTTTTCTTCTTGCGAGTTTTTCGTCTTGTGAAGCACGGTTTCCCATAGGAATGCATTGAAAATCAATTAATGCGTTCCTATGGAAACCGCTTGCCAGGCTGGCGGTGCGGAGAAGGGCTTTTCTCCCCACCGCAAGCCTTCAGGACAGGTACGGGAACAGAGGGGAAGGCGCGGGAGGAGCCTTCCGAAGCTGGGCGGCGGGAGGAGGTGTTCCCGCCCCACCGCCCGGCTTCGGAGGAGCCTTCCAAAGCCGGGCGGCGGGAGGAGGTGTCCCCGCCCCGCCGCCCAGCTTCGGAGCATCCTTCCAAAGCCGGGCGGCGGGAGGAGGTGTCCCCGCCCCGCCGCCAGGCTACGGAGGAGGTCCGAGGACAGTGGGGAAGATGCGCTGCGCTTCCCCGTTGTCCTGGAGATTTCCCTATGGGCTTTCGTCTTGCGAAGGAAGCCCATAGGGAAATTCGTTTTGCGAAGTGCCTCCAAAACGGAAAACCCTTTCGTCTAGTGGGTTTTCCGTCTTGCGAGGCGTTCGTCTTGCGGGGCACCACTGTACTTGAATTCCTCTAATCTCTTCCATCTGAATTTCTTAGTAATTATATATAGCAGTTTCCAATATCATTATTTCATAAAACCATATCAGTCATAATCATATTTCCTAACTTTTCTTATCGTACTTTTTCTTATTTATTTACTTAGTTCTAATTTAGTCCTAGGCCTAATTAGGCATAATGAGTTTTTCTATAGAACGGGAAGCTAGCTAAAAAATTGATTGGCTACACTTTTTGTTGTGCTTAAAGTATGCTAATTCTTTGTCTTAAGGCAGGGCAAATAAAATTCATCCATTGGCTTTAGGACTGTGTTTAGTTTGCTGCTGCCCTGGGGAAAAAAAAATCTGTCCAGCAATTTATAGCATGCCATATTTACAAAATCTGAATGCCATAAACGGCTACTTTCATTTCATTTTGTTCATCATCCAAGCCCTCGCGGTTGTGGAGCTGCCTTTGACAACAGAAAGGAAGCATGAAGAAAAGCCTTCGATTATCCAGCATGTGGAGCTGTCTCCCTTTCTCATAGATTCAAACTGTGTTTCCTCATACTGGACCCAGACTGCTTCTGCATAGCTTTCTTCCTGCCACTACTGAACTGTTTGCAAGTTGATTTCAGACCCTGAAAAAAAACTATTTAAAATAAAAATAAAAAATGTAAATTGAGCATGAAGAGAGGGTGCCTCAATTAATATTCGGGACAACCAGAACGATGATGGGAAAAGTAAAACTTTAGCTGGATTTTTCTTCACAGCTGCAAGAATATTAATTTCTAGGTATTGGAAATATTTGGAGGGTCTCTCTATAAAGGCACGGTGTGAAAAGTTGTCATTTCTAGCAGTTTCTGAGCAGCTAACCACTAAAGTGCGACAATTTAGGGGACAAATTTAAAAAGGCAAATTTTACGCCATTAGTGTAATGAGGTTGGCTTGAGATTCAGGAAAACACCTTCGCCCAACTCCTCCTCCTCTTCTTGTAAGGCCTTGAGGAGACCATAAGCACCTCTTCCCTCAGTTAGACTAACCACAGTTTGTCTTTATGTCGCAACTGGACCAATTTGTGTTAGATTCAAGTATAGTTTATTAAAGCAAGCCAAGATCAAGCTACGGTTTCTAATCCTGGCTTGTTTCAGCAGACCGCAGTTGAAACAACCTGCTGTTCCCGTTCCCATAAAGCCACTTCTGCCTTAAGGAAGAGGTGGGGTTGCGGGCTCTCCACACTTGAGCGGGGCGTGTGGTCAGCCCTGTGCGATTGGGGGGGATTCCTGGCCACATCACTGCCCAGGTGACCAATCCGATTGGTCTGGGGGTGTGGCCTGCTTGATTTAAGCAGGACGCATCGGGGAGCTCTCCCCTTTTCACACTTCCAGCTGCTCCGGTTTTCCCACCCTCCCGCCCTTTAGGTTTTTCATCTCTTGACCTTGCTATGGACTTCGGTTGGTCGCGTTGAGGGGCCTGGTAGGACTTTTTCCACTTGGCAAATTGGCACGGGCCATTTGGTTTTCACCTACATCGTAGCAAATCGCCACAACTTTGTAAGGTTTGGCAGTTAGGCATTGGAATATTTCTGGAGGAGAGGAGGGGAGGTGGCACCATCACCTCCCCTGCACATTGAAGGGTATTCCGTTAAAGGATTGTGGGTGCGTGGCCCTGTCCGAAGTCTGGGGAGGCTACGGCCTAAGGCACAACCCCTATTGGTGACCCTGGGAGAGCTCCTAGTTGATGTGCATCAGCAGGACTCCCCCTACTGACAGTTAACCCTTCCCAGACTCCCTGCATGAGTCAGTTATAGTCAGTTAGGTCCAATGCCTAAGCCAATACAGTGGTACCTCTGGATGCAAACGTGATCCGTTCCGGCGCCCCGTTCTCATCCTGAAGTGAACGCAACCAGCGTCTGCGCATGCGTGGGTCGCGATTCACCACTTCTGCGCATGCGCGTAACGTCATTTTGAGCATCTGCGCATGCGCAAGCGGCGAAACCCAGAAGTAAGACACTCCGTTACTTCCGGGTCGCTGCGGAGCGCAACCCGAAAATGCTTATCCCGAAGCTACTTCAACCCGAGGTATGACTGTACCACTCACAATCTGAAGCCAATAAAGTTGTGGCCTTTTTTAGCCCATTAACCTAAAATACTGGTGTCAAGTTATTCAACCTCTGGGGGGAGGGGAGGGAAGGGAGAGGGTCGGGGCCGTGCCACGCAATGCGAAACTTATGGTTTAGCGTTGCATTTGAATTGGGCTAGTGGATTGCAAGTATTTTCCAGCTGCATCCAGTTGCGATGTTCTTGGGTATCTACGGTCTGTTCACTGAGCAGAAGAGCTTTCATCGCTGGAAGAAAAAATGCCGCGATGTCTGTGGACCAACAAAGAGCTTTTCATTGTGTTGAAACTGGTTTGAGAGTGGGAGATCACCATAGCTGTCAAGTGTCCCTTTTTTGAAGGGACAGTCCCTTATTCCAGCGCCATGTCCCGCTGCTGTCCCTTATTGATGGATGTCCCTTAAATGATGTCCCGTAAATTTCAAAGGAAGCAGCTCCTCTCCCTCCCTCCCTGCCGGCCTGAGAGGAGGGAGGCTCCAACTGTGTTGCTCACTCAATAAGAAGTCTAAGAACGACTGGGGGGTGGAGCTTGCATGCCTTGTGTGTGGCTAGTTAATGCAAGCTGAGGGGTTTTTTGAATGCTGGACGCCATTTTGTTGCACGTGCTGCTGCAAACTTTGCAGTGCAAAGCCAGGCCGGGGAGCCATCTTAAGTTGAGGCTGCATAGGCCTTGTGGTGCATGTGATTCAGATTCTATTCAGTTGAACCTCTGGTTACAAAGTTGGTTGGACAGTCTTCTCGAAGCTACCAGCATGAGTTTGACCAGACTGCAGGAGGACAGGAAGACTGGAGTGCCTGGAACAGGTGAGGCTGCAGGTCCCTTATTTTGGCTGCTGGTCCCTTATTTTCAAGGCTGCTGGTCCCTTATTTTCAAATCTGTAAGTTGACAGTTATGGGGATCACTGTCTGTGAAGCACACACAAATGTATTTTGTGTCATGGTTGCTTTCAATCAAGGAGGTTTTGTGATACAACGGCAAAACCTTATTAACCAGAAGTAAAAAGGGGCCGAGTGTGCATTGCATACCATCAGAAACAAGTCCTCTTTCAACCTAGCTTCACTTCTATGAATATCTCTTGGGGGGCTGGGAGGGGCAGAGTTGCGTTTGTCTGCCAAGCCTGTGGCACAACAAAGGGAACGCAACGGTTCAGGTGTCTTCATTTCTCTACATTTCCCCTCGTTTTATTTCACGCAGAGTGCTTTGTTGGCGGTATCTATGGCAACATTTCAGAACAACGGCAAGCCTCCTTTGCGGGGACACCCTGGCGAAATGAAGCCAATTTTCTTCCAGCTTTTACGACGCCGAGGAAGACGCGGGCTCCCCGGATTCCCTCGGCATTAGGCCTTTCAGACGGCAATTATCTCAGGGGGAGACCTCCGAATCAGTCTCTGGAAGCACAATGCCAACCCTGCTGGAGTTCCCATCTATACGGAGCTTAGCTCTCCAGAATCGACATGGCGGCACGTCTTCCATGGGGCTGCTGCCATCGCACCTGCCACCCGCCACAGATGCTGGGGGAATAGAGGACATGGCAGAGGGTGCCTTCAGCTCAGGAAATAGGAAGGACACGGGGCTTCCTCCTCCGTTGGCACCTGTGCCTGGTTACACTGCTCTTGGGTGTGTGGGGGAGAAAGGCAGGAGGCCATCTGTTAGGAGCTCTCCCATCTGTAAAATTACCATTGACAAATGAATATTTGTATTAATGCTACTTAACTGAGTCTGTAAGGAGATGAAGGTTCCCATACAGAATGCAGAGTAATTCCCTTTGGATCCCAGGATTAATACCTGCTGAGTCCCTTCTGTTCCAAGATTTTTGTGTGTGTATGTGGTTTTTTTTTGCAGTGTGTATGTGTCTAATGGCATAATTGTTCACACCTGCTTTGAGATGCGGTTGCCCCTCCGATGTAAATGTAACATTTTGTGTACGTGTGTGAAAAACCCGCACCTGACGTACAGAGGGCATAATGGGAGCTTGTTTTATGGTTCTTCCACGGTTTAATTGTCGGCGGTTCATCGTGTAAGCCCTATCACTGCTCTT